CAGTCACAGTTTCCTGGGGTCACGTGATCTCCTTTTGCAACCTTCTGACAAGCAAAATCAACGGGGAAGCCGGATTCACTTAACAGCCGGGTTACTAATTTAACAGCTGCAGTGATTCACTTAACAACCGTGGCAAGAAAGGTCAGAAAATGGGGCAAAACTCACAAGAACCGTCTCGCTTAACAACATAAGTTTGGAGCTGAATTGTGGTCGTAAGTTGAGGACCACATGTAAAGGCAGGGGGCCTCTCGCCTGCTGCTTTGCCCAAAGTCTCCTGAAACGGATGGAATGGGCTGGTTCGACGGAGTCTGAGCTCCTGGGAATTGAAGGCAAAAAAGTCCTGAAAGGAACCGCAGGGATTCTGGTGATTTCCGGAGCTCTTGGTTAGCTTCCCTTAATCCCCCCTCTGCCCCTCCGGCACCCGGCGGCCCAAAGCTCTTCCGGCCCAGCCTCAGCAGAAGCAAGAGAGGGACCCCGTGTCACCAAAGGCCCCTCTTCATTCACCTCTTCTGGATTAATGGCCTTCACCCACTGAAAAGTCCAGGCAAGAGTCCTTCAGGGCGTTAACTGCAGTACAGACCTCATCCGTTGCTTGTGATAATTGCAGGGCCCTGAGCTCCCAGCCGCAAAGATGTACATGAAGTTCTGGCAAGTACTCTTTGTGGCACGAAACGCCATGAGCAAAATCTTCCGAAATACGAACTGTTGTCTCCTACGACAACCACTCCCCTTTCCGTCCATTTATTCCGCAGCCAGGGAGGGACCATTCAGCGTCCCAGTGTGCTTTGCTTCCCGAGTCGACTCCTTGTCCCCCATTGTTCACCTCTCCTAACTTCTCTGTGCATTCGTGTATCTGGAACAGGCGCCGGCTGTTCTTCCTCCTCACTCACATCGGCCTCCAAAGGCAGCTGCCTCTCCAATGGCTGGGAAATGCCAGACGGCCCTGGCTCTGTCTCTGTGCCTGACGCAGAGCATCCATCGGGGCCTTCCCCGGGCTCCAGCACTCCACAAACGCCGCAGCGTCCGAGTCTGCCGCCAGCTCCACTCGCAGCTGGCGGGCCACAACAAAAGCCGGGTTTGGTTCATTTGGGAGGCCTCCTACTTGTGGCTTGGAGGCTGGCCAAAGAATTTGTCCAGATGCAGGTCAGGGGAAAGAGGCTGAGAGGTCTTTGAAGGAGGGAACCCATCCACACAAGCAGCCTGAGCCCAAACTCCCTTTGTCCACCCCAAGGTCTATTTGCTCCCGGCCTCTGCCGGACGTTGCCTGGAGGGATGTGAAGGACCCCCCCTCCTCCTCCCCCCCTCATCCTCCTCCCTTCCAGCACTCATGATGTTACCTAGTTCGGTCACAAAACATCTGGAAGAAAACCACCAAGCTCAGCATCAAGGACCCCACAGTCGTCGTCCTCCTCCTCCTCCTCCCCCCTCCCCCTCCTCCTGATGTGATAATGCTTGACAAATACCCCCCTGGAGCTCCAGAGCCAGCCCTTCTTCCCCCAGGGAGCAGCAGGAACCTCTGAGACTTGGGCAGCAGCCCCATTTCCACCTGAGTTGAGGATGCCAACGTTGGATCTGGGATCCGCCCAGGGGTGGAATTGAAATAATTCAACAACCGGTTCTCTGCCCTAATGATTTCTTCCAACAACCAGTTCACCAAACTGCTCAGATTCTCCCAGAGTGGCTGAATCCCACCACTGGCTCTGTCATGTGTCACCTGTGGCCACTTAGAGATTCTAGGCTGATTGCCCTCTTTCGCTCCCCCCCCTTTCTGGGTTCTGCCGCCTCTCCTCCTGCAGGGGGGCTGTCTTGGGATTGGCCCCAAGACGCCTTTTTCCTTCTTGGGGAGGTCGGGGCCTGGACGGTGAGTGGGTGGGAAGGGCTCCCTTCACGCAAAGCCTTTCTCCCCAGGAGATCTTTGGCTACAAGAGCCGGGGCCTCCGGAGGGCCCTGTGCCTGGCCGGCTACGTCCTCTCCTGCGGGGGCCTCCTGCTTCTCTTCCACTGGAAACCCCAGTGGGGCGTCTGGGCCAACTGCCAGCCCTGCAGCCTGGAAGAGGCCGACGTGGTGCTGCTCCGGACCACGGTAGGTCCCTCCCTCCCTCCCTCCCTCCCTCCCTCCTCATGGGAGCTTGCTGTCCAAAGGAGAATCTTTGTAGCTTGGGGGTGAGGGGTGGGGCACAATGAGGGGTCCTTGGTGCTCTCTCAGCTTGGCTGTTTCCCTGCAGACGTTTCATTACCCAAAGTGGGCAAGGACATCAGTGCCCATCAGGCTTAACTGCCAAAGAGGGTGAGGAAGGAAAGAAAAATAGAGGAAGGAATTCCTGAAAAATGATTGGGGTTTTGAAGGCTGGGCGGATCTCGCTTCTAATCTGGAACCTCCTTTGTTCTCGATTCAGTCTCCTCTCCTCACCCCAATGTGCCAGCCGTGCCTTCCCTTATCCCTGGTGGGCTGGCCTGGGCAGGCGCCACGGAGGGTTTCCAGCAAAAACGGGACCAGTTGGATAGAAAGCTAGAAAGAAGCAAAAGGCCTTCCAAGAACCGAAGGACGGAGGGCCAGGAGGATCCTTCGTATCTTGGCTTTAGATTTTGGGCAGGGAAAGTTTCAGCGCAATCTTGACTTGGAACCCTAGAACAGAGTTTCCCCAACCTTCTCCGTTTTAAGACGGGTGGACTTCAACTCCCAGAATCCCCCAGCCGCCCACCCTCCTTATTCCACTCCCAGAAGAAGCCTCAAAATCGCCACGTTTGGGAGGCCCTGATCTAGATGGGCATCCATGCCAGCCCCGAAGGGGCTCCTGCGAAGGAGATGCTCAGGCGGGCAGGAGGATGGAGGGCTGCTGCTCTGTGACCCACGTGGGACCACCCCACACGGCCTCAGGAGAGGGCCTGGCGTGGGGGCTGCAGGGGAGCGGCCTCCCCTCCAGCCTGCCTGGGGCTCCCCCACAGTTTCTGCTCTCTTTCCTCAGGATGAATTTCAGATTTGCACCCGGAAAAACGTGACCTGGATTCCTCTGCCTGCCCACCTGAAGCCCGGCTCTCTCCCCACGGACGAGGAGGAGCCGCTCCTCAACAGGGTCATCGAGAGACCCGGGTTCAAGGTACACAGGGATCCCCATCCTCTGCTGCGGCTCCAGAAGCCTCCCTGGAGGGCTGGAGGATGGGACGGAAGGTAGAAAGATGGAGGACTGCTCTCACCACTCAGCCACCCTGCCAGGCTTGGAGAACTGCTGGTGCTCCTGCCCTTCACCTGCCCAGCAGAGAACGGCTGGAGCTGGCCAGAGCCAAGCCTTTAATCCTCTTACCAGGCTCAGCCGAGCGAGGGGGGCACTGCCAGGCTCCCCCCCCCCTGTGAGCTGCTGGGAGGCGAAACCAGGACATCTCTCCTGCCCAGGGCAGGAATTCACCAGGCAGCCCCTCCCCCTCCAAGCCCCCAGCAGCCCCCATCGTCCACAGGCCCCACTGCCGGCTGGAAAGCCCCTGCCTGGCTTCTCGGGTCACAAAGAAAGCAGGAAATCCAGTTGCCAAAAGCTCCTTTGGGTTAAACTGACCAAAACTCCCCTTCAAAATTTTCATCCATGCGCCCACCGGATGTGGCCATCGGCCATAAATGCAGAGGGGCTGCCCAAAGGCAATCACATGATCCGTGGGCATCAAAACTTCATTTCTGAAGTTCAGGTGCCCACAAGTTCTGCTTTAACTTCGAGTGGTCATTAAGTGAGGAGTAGCTGTCATAGTTTTTCCTCCCCTCCCTCAAACTGTCCGGGGCTGCCCCTCCCTCCCTCCCTCTCTGCCCCAGCTGCCTCACCTTTTCCTTAAGCCTGAAGCTTGCTGTGGTGTGTCGCCCCCCTCCCCCCCTGTTTTCAGGCCTGGGCGCAGCTGGGCCCCCCCGTGCCCTCACTGGGGCTGCTGCCCTTGCTTGGCTCCGCAGGTGCGGTCCCTCCAGGTGCAGAAGATCCGCTACGCCTGGGACTTCTCTGCGCGAGAGTTCCGGAAAGTCGGGTGAGTCCGGATTCGGCCGCTGGGGAAGGAGGCTCGGCCGAAGGAGTCCGCCCTCCAACCCCGGCTGGGCCCTCTTCTCTTTCAGAGCCCTGGAGGACCATTGGAGCTCCCTGGAGGTCCACGCCAGGTTCGGGGCAGGGCTGAGCAGCTCCCAGCAGGAGCTCAGGTAATCCCCTCGCTCGGCAGGGCCAGCACACCTGCTCAGGCAGAAAGCCCCGTGGATGCTCAGGGCTCACCTGGGGCTCACGGGCGTCTCTTTGCACACGAGTCCACCTTGTGTTCACCTGGGGTGTGTGTGCCATTGCTCCTTATGGGAATTCCCTCACGGTGGGCTTCTTACTGGCTGAGAGCTTCCCCTCCCAGGCCCAGGCAAGACACGGGGTGGGGTGGGGTGTTCCCTTCTCTCCTGCTCAGCTCCGTAGGCCTCTGCTGTTTTGCAGAAGCAGCCCAGGGAGCTTCTCCCACTTACTTATCCCTGTTGATGAGGGGTCGTCTCTCTCCCTTCCATCTCCACAGGAGAGAAATCTGTGGCCCCAACACCATCGACATCGAAGTCACACCGATCTGGAAGCTGCTGGTCAAGGAGGTACATTAGCACCAGCGACAGTCCTTAGACTTATATGCTGCTTCCAGAGCCAGCCTCTTGCCCCCAACAATCTGGGTCCTCATTTGACCCACCTCGAAAGGACGGAAGGCAGAAGTCAACCTTGAGCCAGTGAGATTCGAACTGCTGAAATGCAGCTCGCAGTCAGCTGAAGTAGCCTGCAGGGCTGCACTCTAACCACTGCGGCACCGTTTACCATTTCAGACCCTTTAACGTTTCAGACAAATGGCTGTCCAGTCTCTTCTTAAAAACCTCCAGTGATGGAGCACCCACAATTTCTGGTGGCCAGCTGTTCCGCTGGTTAATTGTCCTCCCTGTCAGGAAGTTTCTCCTCCATTCCAGGTTGCCTCTCTCCTTGATTCCTTTCCGTCCGTCGCTTCTTCTCCTGCCTTCTGGGCATTTTGGAGAATAGGCTGACCTCCAGGCTTCTGTGGGGCCCATGAACCTCCCTGTGAGTGGCTCAGGGACCTCTGCCCCAAGGGTTCCCAGCCCCTTTCCTGCCCATTGCCCAGGGCCTCGTGGCAGAGAGGAACTGGGAGAACCTGGGGGGGGGGCAGCGAGGGGCAGGGGGCTCCTACCAATTCAGCTGAGCCAGAGAACGTTCCCTTCCGGGGGGAGGGGGGGCACCTGCATAAGTGCCAGCCCAGCTGAGCAGCCCATGTGGAGGAGAGCTGGCATCATCAGGGCAAAGCTACATTTCCTGCTGTTTTTGGAGAGCCAGATTAGCAGCTCAGTCAACAAAGGATTTATTCACCCAGAACATTCTCTCTCTCTCTCTCTCTCTCTCTCTCTCTCTCTCTCTCTCTCTCTCTCTCTC